GGTTTTTTCTCTATTTTGAAAATAAATTAGCTGAATCATTCTCCTTTGCATCTTTTATAACACTGCAGCTTGCATTTCTGCATTAAAATTGTCAAAACTCTAGAATTCTAACATGAAGTTGTGTATAAACCAATGGAGCAAACAACCATCTTCCCTCTTGTGATGTCACGCGTGACCACACCCACATTTGCTAAATACAGGATGCAGAAATGAGGAAGTAAATTATGCATTTTTAAAGCAGTTTTTCTCTAGGAAAGAGCAATTATTTTGCACCAAAAGTATTTTTGCAAGTCATTTTACACCATAATGAAAATATTTTTGATTTTTAATCACAACCCAATTTTTCGTGTCGGTTGCCCTTTAAGGAAAAATTGGGAAAGATTTGGAGATAAGTGAAAGAAGGGGAGGATACACAGGCCCACTGAGAGGGGGGCAAAGGAGAAAAATTCCCAGGACCCCCAGCTATATAGGGCCCCAAAATCAGAATAGGCCGTGCAAAATGCATCATTTTAAAAATTATTGGGCAAAAAATGCAGTTTCTATGCTCATATTTTTACCCTTTCCCGGGCCTCCACTGATTTGAGGATACATGCATTTGAAACCAAATATACATGTATTACATTCTGTCAATATCAAAGATAATAATTACCTTTCAACAATTGATTTAATATATTTTCCTTGACTACAATTTTCTCTCTTAGTGTTGACATTTTCTCCTTCAGTTCATTGATCACTTGTTCATTTTGAACTATAACAATAATTGATACTAGAATAATCATGATAGAATGAATATCATACCATTAATGCAACGACTTTCTTTAAAATCTATCATTAATGTTTCTATTTCTTTTAATCTGTTTTCTGAAAGTTCCTTAATTGTTTCTAACTCCTTTTCAGTAGCTATCATGCATACATGCATATTAAATCAAAAATCAGACACAAATACATCTTACCTATTATCCTTGTATTTTTTTCTTCTAAAGCAGCTTTCAATTCATAAATCTGTACTAGCAAATCCTTCACCTCAGGCCCTGTGTTTTCACCCACTACCTATCAAAATTAAGGAATAAATTAAATTTGTTAGGCAAAACTAACCTGACTACTATTCCATATAGTACAGTTGCCTATTATAAACTCCTTCAATCCTCTCTCCTGCAGTATCTCTATCTTATCAAGGACAGCCATTATCAGTGAGCCAGTGTATTCAGCAGGACAGTAGCAAGTTACTACAACTGATTGACCAGGACTAACTCCAACTACTTTTATGCAATATTTGTGAAGAAGCTCTAACTCCAAAAGCACATCATTGATATCTTGCAAGGTGGTTCTGTCAGGATCCCAGTTCAGAACAAAGGTTATGGTTTCAGATAATAAATATCGTGTAGGAATTGCTTGCAATGTTTCATTATTGGAAAGACTCACAGATACTGACTTGCAAAAATTTTTAGCAGCTTCTTTATGTTCTTTGATGATGTTTTCAGCCTCTTTTACTTTAAAATGAACAGCTAATACTTCAAGTGGATGAACATCAACAATGCTACATTTTCTCTTCACCACATCTAGAACATCATCAATTGTTTTTTTATGAGAAAGCTCAGACTGGAGATCAGGAAATATGTCAGAAAGCAGCATTTTCATTTCATTGACATCTAAAGCCTTTTTCTTGTGCTTGCCAGATGATTTAGGATTTTTTTCTGAGAAAAGAAGTCGTACATTATAAAAAGTTGATCCAAACTTTGTTCGCATTTCTTTAAATTCTTTTCTCATAGTTCGAGGAAATGGTATTTTATGACCACAAATTGCAAAGTCTTCAGCTTTAATAAATAAAATGAATATTAATTAACTCAAAATGGTTCTTACTTTCTGAGTCACTTGAAGTTGACGGATATTGTGAGAGACTAGAATTTCCTCCTAAAAGTATAATAATAAATTAAATATTGCCAATTTGTAATCAAATATTAATACTTTCAGTTAAGTAAGTCTCCATCTCTTCAACATCATCATCATCAGTAAGGAAATTATGTTCTAAAATATCAACAAAATATGACTTGAATAATCAATTTAACATACTGTATTCTTCAAAAATAGTATCACCAATATGAGCAGTCTCTGAGAACTTCCTCAATATAGTAACAAACAACTCCAGGTGTTTGTAATTAGAGTGAACAGCATCTCGTACAGCTTTGAGGAGAACTGCTCTACTGTCAGACACAGAACCTCTGGTAGACATGACACAAGACACAGCCTCATCAGATATAACCTCTTCATGAAGCAACCTTGCCATACAAACTGGTGCAGTAATTGACTGAGAAAGAGCACTGTAATTATTCCTCAATATATCACTAGCACGACCTTCATTACCACCTACTACCTCCTGTGGTTGTGCTACTACACTAACACCCTCTTGAGGAATTTTATCTTCTATTATATTCAAACTGTTAATAGCATCACAGCTTTCAGTGCCTTACCATATTCAAATTCAGCCATCATTTCTCTGCCTATATCTCTTGTTTCTTCAACATCAGACAGGACTGTAGCAATATCTTTAAGTTTCCTGTAGTCACTAGTCACTGTTTCTTGTATGGCAGTCAATAGAATGGTCTTCTTGTCATCCAGTGACCTCCTCTGATCTATCCTCTCCATTTCATCCAGAGTAGCTTCACTTATACATCTCTTACAGTATAGCAGTTGAGACACTTGTACAGGAGAGACAAGAGCTTCATTCAGTGATTGAATATTTCTTTCAAGAATAGAAACTGCTTCAGTAGGTGGTGGTGTATCTAAAGAAACAATTGAATGATTTAACAATCAATTATTACAAACATATTAAGGCAAGTTCTCAATATGATGCATTGCTTTTCTTGTGTTTTTGTTGTGACTGGAAGTGTTGTAGAAACAAATGGTAGAATTCATCAAAATGTCAGACAGTATAGCTCCAAATTTTGGTCTGTCAGAAATTTTGTCAAATTTGTAAAGCATTTTTGTTTTTAACAAAAATTTTCAACCAACAAATATTGTTTTACATGGGTAGTATGTGGATTTATGAGAAATTACAAAAATTTTATTAATAATAATTAATTTTTAAAAGAAATTAAGATTTTTACAAAATTTCTGACTGACAAAAATTTGAATTTTTTTATCTTTTGAAGTTTTGATCAGTGTATAGTGCTAACTTTCAGCTGCAATGCACACATACACACAAAAAGAAATGCATCATATTGAGATACTTAAAGGAGTACATACCATAAGGCACTTTTTTCGAGGGCCGTAAATTTTGTCGATTTCACGATTTTTTAAAGATTCGTGAAAATTACTTCCACGAAAACATAGATATCTATGGCGAAAATCAAATTAATATTGTAAAAAATGGCAGACAGCATAAATTTGCAAAAATTAAATCTGCAAAATAAAAATCTGTGAAATCTATAGCTCTAAAAAAGGCGCCTTATGGTAACTTGACTTGGAGCGAGAGGGAGAAGAGGCAGTGTTTATCATAGACATACTGTACTTACAAGTAGTGTCATGAAGCTCCTTTAAATACTTTTCATATTTATCAGCAACTGTATGCTCACTAATGACTCTCTTTCTCAATGCTCCCAGAACTTGTCTCCTACTAGCAGTAGGAGTAGTGGACAGCCAGTGTTGAAACATCTTTAATGTCTTGCTTGTATCATCATGTCCTTGTAGCTGCTCAATACCATCCAATCTCTTATCATCAACGTGTAGCAGTGTACCCAAGAAGTACCACTTAGTACCAACATCAATGTGCTCCAGTAGCTCAGAGAGAATAGGAGCAGAAGATAAGAAAACTTTGAGAGATCTTTGCTTGTGTTCAGCCATTTTCGAGCCACACGCCCACTCATGAAAATCACCAGACAATGCCAATGGGGCGGTACAGTGTAGACAGTTAGACATTTATAGAGTGCAGACTAGCATTGGTGCAAAAGAACTGTGTGCCTGAGTGTGGACCAACTAAGTGAACTCACAATGAATTCTTGTCTCCTATTTCTATTGGCCTTTATTATTACGAGCAGTGCTCAGCCCAACTGCAGTCATCAGCCTGATGAGCTCCGGTTTCTCTTCATGGCGAGTAACGGAAGCTCTTTCAACTCTTTTAGCAGTTTGCTTGGAGTCGATATAGCTCTAGAGAGGATCAATAGCAACTCTTCAATCCTTCCTAACTTTACACTGAGCTACTCTAATGCAGCCGATTCACAGGTACCCTAAATTATTTATTTGACGAGTCAAAAATGATGAACTGCTAATATTATCTAATTGGGTGCTATTCATAGATGCTAATTCTAGTGCTAGTAAACAAATTAATTGCTCTCATCAGTTTACAGCACTTAGCATGTGCCTCGTTATACCTTATATCATGGCTTGACTATAAGTTGGCTTGCCCCTCCTCTTTTCAATTAGATCTACTGACTACTGTAATAATTTATTTGATCTTCTTTCTCTCTTTTTATTGTCCACCCCTACTTGTTTCTTTACAGTGCCTCAGAACACCATCACTTTCTGCGTTTCTCTCCCAACGAATTGCTCCATGCTCAAATTTCCTTGCTGTAATTGGATCAGGTTGTTCAGTTGCTACAGATCCCGTTGCTGAAATTGGACCGTTTTGGGGCCTGTCTCATGTCAGTATATACACGTAACTGTGTGCATAACTTCCCACAATGTTTGTTATAATTGATAACTTAGTTATACTAAAATAATTTTAAATACTTCATATTTGTGCCACTTGTTCATACATGTACATGTAGTTCAAGCAGATTTTTGTTGTGTGTAAGCTGAGAGCTGAGAGAAAAAAAGAAGCTACTTTGTAATTGTACTCTAAATTTTATGTAGTCTTTGTTAGATTATAATATTCATTGTTTATTGTGATGTTGTCCTATGCACATTGGTGTCTCTGTATTATTATGATAAATATCTATTGTGTTGACTAATAAAAGCTTTAATTTGTTGTTTGTGTTAATGAAGGAAATGTTTACAGTATGCGGTCATTAATTGTGAAGGATCAGCATTAATACCAATCGCTATCTTATTGAGCAATTCAAGCTCAGATTTTATTATAAAGTTGCCAAAAAATTGGGCCAAAGTTCTTACTATAAGTACCAAATGTTGCCAAAAATGGCTAGTTTTATTGTTATTATTTTTTCTGATACATATACATATACTTATGTTGTGTAGAAAATTAGAGCCAATTCCAATCAAAATTAAATTTTTAACAATATTTAAAAGTTGCCCAGAAATTGGGCAAAAGATCATGCACTATAGCACAGTGTATTTTCCAAAAAACAGCTTTGAGATTTTGTAACTATGGTATACTTTTTTCTTTTAATTTATTCATTATTCAATTCTTTCACATCTGTTTTGTGATATCATTGCCTCTTTTGATAATTATTTTTACAGTCCTCACAGTGTTTGGCTTTTGCTTTCTAGAAAAACATGTAGTGTTATTCCATCTCTTTGTGAAGAAGTCTGACCTTAAAACTTATTGTGCTCTGTATTTTATTGTATTGTATGAGTTGCCTCTACTGATGAATGATAAAGCTATTTATTTTCTTTTTGTTCATTGTGGTCCCAATAATAATAATAATAATGATAGTGATGATAATAATAATAATGATAATAATAATAATAATAATAATAATATCTCCCATCTCTCTTTTGTATTTGTGTTTTTACTTTTTGTTTTTCTTTCTTTGTTTCCATTTTTTATATGGGTTTCTCCCCCTTTTCCTAATTTCCTCTCTCTCATTCTCTCTCTCTCTTTCTTTTCTAAGTCTTGTTATGTCTTCTAATAATAATAATAATGATAACAATGATAAATATTATTATAATTATAACTACAATAATAAATCTTTTTCAGATTTCATTTGCCTCTTCTTCCGTCCATCTAAGGGATCGCGATCGTTTCAAGAATTATTTCCAAATCTATGCATCAGAAAATAACTACATTCCAGGGATAGCGTCAATCATGACATTTTATGGATGGAGTCGAGTTGTCATTATTACAGAGAAAGTGACCCTTTTCACTGAAGTATGCTTGTGTGTTTAGTGTTTACATGCACCTTTTACTACACGATCATGTAGTGTATGTTTTCATGCACACAGGGGCATCATGTCACCACACATCATAACATTACTCCAACTACATGTATGCATGCTTAAATTACTTAATTGCCACATATATTAATTGTTACTAATATACCTTCATACTGGGCCCTCTGTGCATTAGACTGAGGAGACACTCTTCGAATTGCTCACTACAAAATCTGTTAATGCTACAAGGATTGATTTTGAGTCTGATGACAATCCTGCTGATATTCCTAATTTGTTTGTAAGTCCATTTTTTCCTTCGCATTTTAGCTGTTATACACGTGCATATACATGTATGTATGTATCTAGTGCAGTAAAATGGCAGTTATTCTTTTCTTGTTTTATTTAGCCTGAAAATGAGAGGATTTTTTTCTTAAATATGTGGGAGCCAAAAGCAAGACAAGTCATATGTGAGGTAAGAAGTAAAGACTTGTACATATGTAGATGTGTAGATTCTGAGAGATAGGGGAAAGGAAAGAAAAAGTATGAAAGAACTAAGCTATGTAGAGTGGATTAACCCTAGTCATAATTTTATTTATTGGCTGAGCGACTGTAGTTGTTTACTGGGACAATGCAATTTTGATAAGAGTCCAAATATTTGTTGTTGGCCAGTTATTTTAAATGACAATAATAAACTAACAGTTTTCATTCGTTATGATCAATTATATCATTTCTAAGAATATCATTTCTACTGATTCCCTGTTATTACAACCTTATTAATGACTCAATAAGCTTTTATTTTTAAGTTATGTAGACTTTTTGCCACTTAAAAATGAGCATCTAGTTGGCTATGTGTCCTAAAATAAACTAGTCTTGTTTGTGCACATGTATTTTGCCTTAACACCAATCAGTTTGATATCACTGTAGGCTAAGTATAACAAAAAACATGTCGGGTAAACAAAACTCTGTCCCCAAAGTTATTGTTTTGATTACAAAAATAATACTATGAATAACATACAATGTAGTATATTAAATACTAATGATAGTAATAATGTTAATAATAATTAGTGGCACTGCAGTGATATCATGCTGTGATGTTATGTACCTTTTTCCTATGAAGAAGGAAATTAAGAATAGTAGATAGTAATTATGTAATTGCTATGTTAATATTTGTCTATAATTCAAAGAGGAGTATTATAATTGAACACAGTATGCATGTAGGTACATGTTTTTGTTAGTATTGCCACATGATTTTTACTCAATGTGGTATGTACCAGGAAAGAGGAAACACTGCTATTTTTTATTATTTGTGATTTATTGTCATGGGATTTAGAGTTATTTAATCCACTGACATGTGGCATTTGTTTTCATTTTCTCTCATTTTATGCAAGTACATGTACCGTATTTACTCAAATAAACGCCCTGCTTAAATAAACACCCATGACAAATATTTTCTAACTATAGATACGCATATTTTACCCAGTATATGTGCCTCAGGATTTAGATTGTGCCAGATAGCCTAACTGTTGAAGTACAGTTTGGAATGCTAGAAGGTCGTGGTTTTGAATCCATTAGAGGCTTTTTTGTTCTTTTTTTTACCTCATTTTTTTCCTGATAAGAAATAAACGCCTGGGCGTTTAATCGAGCAACTACAGTACATGCCTTAGTCAAATATGCTCACTAGGCAGCCACGCAACAGATTTTAATGACCATATTTTATGAATAATACTTGTTTCTAAAAATTGATTCTTTAGGCGTATAAAAGAGGATATACTGATAGGACAAAATATGGCTGGATACTGTATGGGTGGTACAGTAATGCTTGGTGGAATTTACGATCTAAAAACACCACAGTGACTTGTACAAATGAACAACTTTACTCTGTCCTGAATGGAGCACTGGCTGTACAGCAGTATCCTATTAATACTAATGTGACAAAAACTGCCATTGGAAACCTTGTAAGTTGGCCTGTTATTAATTACTATATTACTGTTATTATTAACATAATTACTATATGACCTGGTACTTGTTTTACTAATTGTTTACCATGTACACTCAATGATGCGGATAATTAGGAACTAGGGGAATGGTTTTAATATGATTAATTAGTTGTAGAATGTATAGTATTTTGATAAGTCTCTCCCTTACCCACCCAAGGCTTTTCTCTCTATCTTTACTTTATCTTTTTCTGTTTTTCCCTCGTTGTCTCTTTTCTGCATTGTTTGCCTTTTGTCTCTTTTTCTTCTATGACTATTTTCTAAACCATAAACCCCTAACTATGTATAATATCAATTTCTTTAAGTGAGGCCATAATTTTTTAGGGTTTAATTGTCATGATAATTAGTGGTTTAAGATGTAACATTTAAACCTGATGTTTACCTGCTCTCTCTGTCCACTTGTGATAATATATTGCTTATGCCATATATTTTGCAAGGATTAAATTTCGCAATATTGTTTTTTTGGAAAAATTTGTGAAATTAAAATCTGCAAAATAGCGTGCTGATTGGATAGAAGGTGTGGTATTTATATTAAATTGCAAAAAAATTATATTCGTGAATACAAAAATGGCAAAATTTTATACCCGTGAAATATATGGCGTATACGGTGTAACACTTACATCTACATGTATTTGTTGTAAGTTCATGGCGATACCACAAAACAATGCCACATGATTGGATTGAAGGCTGGTTCACAATATCATGCTAGTCCTGATGTTAGGTTGACGCTGGAATCGAATCTGGATTGATTCCAGCGGAAAGCATGCGTCAAAAGGTCAAATTGTCCACACTTTTGATTTAAAATTGATGGTACGTTGGCCTAGCGTCATATTGTGAACCAGGCTTTACACTCTAATGTACTCTACATAAAATTTTGACTTCTCCCTCTCTCTTCTTCTCTTCATTAGTCATACAGCGAGTTTTATGAACTATATGATGCAAGACTTGCCGATAATGTGTCATATCCATCTCATGCCTACCTCGAATCAACCTACGTGGCACACATGTCATATGATGCTACATGGACACTAGCACTGGCTCTTGATAGAACAGCAAGAAGAATAGCGGGAGGACAAGACCCAGTTCCTGAGTGTAGTGGTACACTGACCCCATTGGATCAATGGGACAATACAATATCAACTACCTCTTGCCTTATAAGATATGAGCTAGGGAGAACCAGTTTTGAAGGATTAACAGTTAAGACTATGTACATGTATCGTATGCACACATTGACACAATCATGCAATGCAGTTTATTGTATTGCATTGAGTACCATATAGCCACAAAATTTTGAAGCAATAAACTTTTGCAAATCAGGCCACAAAGTCTTTTTTCGCAAATTGACTTTTGTGGTTCTTATTTTAAACTACACATGTTATAGGGTGATACGAATAATTTAACAGAATTAACTTTTGCAGATACGGAAAATCCGCAAAAACGGCAGAAATCGTACCCTCAAAGTTAAGCGAATATACGGTATTATATTGTACACGAGCCAATAATGAAATGGTAAACACATATACCACCAAGAGTACATAATATCTAATGCTTATACAGTTAGTACTATGAGCCATAATGTAGTCATAATGTACATGTAAGAATAGTTAACTCCCAAACTTTATGCAAGAAGAATCATTACTAGTAATGCTATTCTTTATCATTTCACAGGGTAATGTCAGCTTCGATGATGATGGTATAAGACATAACAGTCCAACTAGAATATATCAGATAAGAAACAGTAAGTAAAACTACTGTATGATGTGTACACGTACAAACATTTGTACTACAGTGTGTGGGTGTATCAAAGGCACCGCCACGAGTTTATATACCGTATAGCAGGTTTCTTTCGTTCGGCCAAACTTTCGTTTTCTAGGAGGAAATCCAATTTCGTGGGTTTTATTTTCGTCCTTCTGATCTGCAAGAATTAAGCCACACCCAACAACCCCACCCATAACACCCACGTGTGCATGTGTTAGTGTTGATTGAGCTCTCCCACAGCAAATTTTGTGGGTTTAATTTTCGTTTTTGGAGCTTGGAGAACGAAAAGAATGAAAGTTTGACCGAACGGAAGAAACCCGCTATACGGTAGTGTAGACCATAGCATGGCAGTTAGAAGCCATCATCTAACTAGTGTTGTGCAGTACTCTATTTTCTGTTTTAGTTCTAGTTTTAGTTCTACCAACTACTCCATTTCTACTTTTAGTTCTAGTTTTAGTTTTACCAGTACTCCATTTCTAGTTTTAGTTCTAGTTTTAGTTCTACCAGTACTCCATTTCTAGTTTTAGTTCTAGTTTTAGTTCTACCAGTACTCCATTTCTAGTTTTAGTTTTAGTTTTAGTTTTACCAGTACTCCATTTCTAGTTTTAGTTCTAGTTTTAGTTCTACCAGTACTCCATTTCTAGTTTTAGTTTTAGTTTTAGTTTTACCAGTACTCCATTTCTAGTTTTAGTTCTAGTTTTAGTTCTACCAGTACTCCATTTCTAGTTTTAGTTCTAGTTTTAGTTTTACCAGTACTTCATTTCTAGTTTCAGTTCTAGTTTTAGTTCTACTAGTACTTCCGTTTTAGTTTTAGTTTTAATTTTAGTTCCATGCCAAATTCTGATTCTGGCATTATAGTTCTAGTTTTAGTCCTACTAATACACCATTTCTAGGTGATTTTTATAATTTTTTAATGAAATTTAATTTTAATAACTTAAAAGGGTAGCATTTTAGTTCTAGTTTTAGTTTTAGTTATTCAAAGTGGTACCATTTTAGTTCTAGTTTTAGTTTTAGTTATTAAAAGGGCTCCATTTCAGTTCTAGTTTTAGTTTCAGTTATTAAAAGGGTAGCGTTTTAGTTCTAGTTTTAGTTCTAGTGATTTAAAAGTGCACATTTTAGTTTTAGTTTTAGTTTCAAGTCCTTAATAGCTAAATCTTTAGTTCTAGTTTTAGTTCCAGTGCTTTAATTTGTCAAATTCTAGTTTTAGTTCTAGTTTTGGTTCTTTGTATCAATGTAGTTCAGTTCTAGTTCTAGTTCTTGGAACTAGAACTAGGAAAAAAATAGGTGTACTAAAATAGATTTAGTTCTAGTTCCGTTGGAACTAGCACAACACTACATCTAACTGCCAATTCTGGTAGTTAGACAACGGTGCCTATCATACACCCACCGTGCACACTGTAGTACAAACCAGATAAACTACAGCTGTTTCGTGTTACTGGATATACACAA